CACAGGCTCTAGGACTACTGTCTCATTCTTTCCCACACTTGTATCCTGATGTCAGGAGGACATATATTTGGATTCCTGAATTCTTGCCTCCCTAAGGGAATTTTAATTTCCATACAGTTCTCAGTAGTGAATATGACCCATCACTTCACACCATATAACATTTCTTTCAATGTAGCAGATGCTAAAGATGACTTATTTAACTGAGTCACACTTCCACATGATACAATGCATTTTGAGTATTTGGGTTATAGCTGGAAATTAAAGTAATCTATAGAGGCAAAGAAAATATTCTAATGACATACTTAATTTAAATGATAAAATTTTTTTTAAACATTGCTCCTTTTTCTATTTTCATATTTTTGGCAAGAAATAAATACTTAGAAATCTCCCAGAGCTGAATTTTAAAATCTAAAAAGTCAAGATGTTAAACTCTACTTTTTAAATTAAAAATACTAAAATTTACATTAAAATGGTATAGATTTTGGGGCACCTGGGTGGCTCAGTTGGTTAAGCGACTGCCTTCGGCTCAGGTCATGATCCTGGAGTCCCTGGATTGAGTCCCGCATCGGGCTCCCTGCTCGGCAGGGAGTCTGCTTCTCCCTCTGACCCTCCCCCCTCTCATGTGCTTGCTCTCTCTCATTCTCTCTCTCTCAAATAAATAAATAAAATCTTTTAAAAAAAATGGTATAGATTTTAATGCCTCAAACTTAGAATGCTTCTTGGGTGCCCAATTTATACACAGCCTGTATTAAACACCATGTAATCTTTATAGAAAAAAGAGAAGCTGGAGATATTATCTTTAAGAATATTCCTTATTTGTTTTTAATATGGAGTATCAATCTAAAAACTACACATTTTAGACTTTGTGAAATTTTTCAGCCATAATTATTAGAAAATGGTCATTCTTAGGTGAGAGAAGAGCCCTATTAACTTTGTAATCCTTTGAACAAAGACATTTTGCTAATTATACATGTACATTATTTTAAAATTATATTTTAAATAGAGAATAAAAAACAACAGGGTATAACTTCTGCAGATAATTACATCTTAATTTATATTAACAGTATATCTAGGAAAAAACTTCTAAGGAGTGTCTTATTATTGTTGTTGTTGTTATGAAATGACCCATAATATGCAGATGTGGAAAATCCCTATTTTTCCAGTGGCCAGATGTTTTGAACTTGTGTTGACTGAACCATAAAAATGGCTGACTCTACCACTCTACCACTAAGGAAATTAAACCTGAAAGATATATTTCCTTGTTTTGTTCCTTTTCTTTTTTTTTCCCTCTGAATTACCTGCTTTTGCCACAAACTTCAGATTCCCTTCACTTATACTTTAAAATTATTTATTAACCTCTCAAGCAAGTGAGCAAGATAGTCTTAAGCAGTTACGTGGCTGAAAGGTGATAAAAAAAAGAATGCTGTACCACAGAGTTTATTATTATTATTATTATTATTATTATTTAGCCCTGCATGATTTTAAAGGTTTAGATGTTCTGGAATGAAAAAGTTGTACTGGGAACAAAATATGATCCACACCTATATGATACACCACTGAAACCCAGATGTAGGGACAATACAAAAACAAAACAGAACTTAAAAAAAAGGAAAAACTGGAAAATATGCTTAAGTGTTGGAGAAGTTAAAAGTCTATCAGGAACACCAGATTTAGGTATCTTAAGTACCAGGAATAACAGCCCACCAAAAGTACTTCACAAAATACAATGACGTTTCTGAGAATTACTTGGAAAATCGATTCTCAGTATGTTTAAAACCTAAGAACATTCCTCTGACAGATTCTGCTAATATGAAACTGGCTTTTGAAATTCTGAGAAAAAAACTGCAGCGTGTTCATCTGTGACACTGAATCACATCCTGTCAGCGCCATCTATCAGTTGCAGTTTAAACTGCAATGAAAAAGAGATTCTAAAAGTCTCTTGACTATAAATAACCAAAATAATTTCTTAAATCATGTAATATGCAGTTGTGTCTAGTATGAAACATTTTATTTTGAACTCACCATTTTATATTTTCTCTATGGCCTCATAATAAATGATGTAGGTGGTTTCCAGTTAGTTGAAAATATGTAGTCACATAATCCATGAATATGTAGAGATCTACATGTCATACAAAAATACAGTTTCCTAGATCAATTAATATTTGAAAATTCAGTTATTTTTATCACAACCAACATTTCTCCAGGACAATATACTGTGCTCAGAGTTTGTCCGTGTCTTTCTAAGTATGATGGTATGTCATGCAGTAAATATTTTACGTATCATTGGCCTTCTCTAGGATCCAGAAAAATCCTATCTTTTATGCTAGTACAGATATGAGCTGGACATTTAAAGGCCTAGAAGGTTAGTCTTTATTTTTCTCTTGTGATACTTGAAAATAAATGAAATAAAACTTATTACTAAATCATTAAAGCATTATCACAAGATGTTTTCATACAGTTATTTGGTTTCGAGCCTATAGAATGGGAAGCACGCTATGCTACATTTTGCGTTGGAGCCCTTGCTTTAGTTAAAAGACATTAAAATCTGTCGCTGGTATGTGGTATATATAACCTTCTCTTTCCAAAACTAACAGCTGGCTCCCTTCTCATTTCCTTCTCTCCTTGTCTTCTTCTTCCTCTTTCTCCTCCTCTTCTGACAGAAGCAGAGAAATTATTTGAGCATTTTGAAATAAATGTCCTTCTGGGGCCCAACATGTCTCTCTCTTCACTACACAATTAGAAAAGCAGAAGAGGCTATGCAAACTCTAGAACCACCCCAAACTGTGAGGCTGAAGGGTGAGCAAGTTTTCAAGATGAAACACAAATGCTTCCCCATGGGTAATCAAATCGGCTTTGGTACTTGAATCTATTCTAAAGATTGAAAAAGATAATTTGCTTATATGCATAAACAACAAAAAGTTGTACACATTTGTCATTTGCCTCAAGGTATTTCTTCTTTCATATATAATCTCCATTATGTATTACAAATGAAATGAATGAAAAGAATATTTGTTGGATCATAAAGCTCTATTTGGTTGATGACTTCTTTAAAAACTTTACAAAGAAGTTTAAAGCCCCACAAATAATGTTCCAATTTTTTTGCTTTTAGCAAGAAAAAGTATTCAGTTTGCACTTGTCCAGACCTCAGCAATATAAAGGCCTTTTCCTTTTTGGGAAAGGAAGCTTTTTATACCCTTGGTTGACTTCACAAAAAACAATCTGGGACACAAATGTAGGCAATTCAAACTAGTCGTTTGGGTGAAAATCTCTCTGTCTTCATCTCACTCAAAATATTACTTAAATGTAATCTGAACCATTTAGAGTAGCTCTACTTAAACTGTGTTATGTTTTCAGTAGTAAAGACTGATAACTTGATAGTTCCCAAGGGTTTGATTGTTACAGTTTAAGTACAGAGTTGACATTACATGCTATTTTTCCAAAAATCCCCAGGGCTATGTTAGAGATGAGATAAGTAAAGATGTATAGAGCTGTTTAAAAATTTGTGGGTATCTTCAAACCCAGTACTATTAGTCAACCTTCCTATAGGTCTATTCATTCTCACATTAATATAATCTTTCCACTGGTAATTAAAAGAAGGTAATGGAAATTTGGCTTCAAAGTTCTAAATATTTATATATGTATGTATTAATTGTGCTCTGAATTTGCCATTAAAAAACTTTGTAGGTATTATTTTTTTTGGAGGTTCTCTGTTCAATTTTTTCATTCTCTCTGTAACTTAGAATTTGACTTTCATAATTTATCCTCTGGGTATGGCTCCCCTCCCTATCTTCCTAACTTCAGTCTCACCATTCTTCAATACATCCTTCCCACAGTTATCAGATTGATCTTTCTAAGGGGTTTACCTCTCCATTGCTGCATAAAAATACACACTGGTCCTCAACAACACTCCCTCATGACAAGACTTCATAACCCTACTTCTCTACCCAAACCTGAAATTCAGCTACACTGAACAGAGGACAGTTATTTTAAAGATCTTGAGCTCACTTGCACTCTCTCTCCTTCCTGCTCTCTCGCTCCCTCCCCCCCACACTCCAATCCCCCAAACTCATAGGCTTAGAGCATCCTCACTCATTTTTTAGTACATACTAAAATGACACTCCTATGAGAACTCTTTCTTGATCTCTTGAACCCCTCTATCAGAATGCATACCTGATCCATTTAGTAACCCTAGCACTGGACTAGAGACTGTTGATCAGTATAAGTTCACTGAGTAAGTGAATGGACTGGATGATAGAACAAAAAAAGAAAAGAAAAGAAATCAACTCAGTAACTTCAGAAACAAGGAAACTGAGAGGTAGTTTAAGAGACCTAAGTCCACTCTTTGAAAAAAAAAAAAAATAGCATTATAACTCAGATGACAATTATCATTCAGTGTTCCTTCCCCTTCTTATATCTTGATAGCAGTTCCTAAAAATTCTTAGTATCAATAACATTAATTTATGACTAAATCTAGCTACATACAATGGCCTTGTAAGAATAGCATGCTTTGCTTTTTCCTTTTTATCTAAACAAAGTGTGTAATCTAGAACAGGGAAGTTTGAATTTAGTAGCTTCTGCCCCATGCCTGAGGTAGAGAACACAGCTTTGGGAACTACGATTGAGTGATAGCCCTACCTATGAAGTAACCAGGCTGCCCACTTAGCCCTATTTTCCATGGTTTCTTAAATACTTGGGTTTTTCTGAAAAAAAAAAAAAAAATTTTAAGGTTGGAGAAGTATATCCAGCTGGCTAGACTCTGCTTCCCACGTGTTCTTAATAACTTTTATTTCCCTAAGGGCTAGCCTATGCTTCTCAAACCTGGCTACACATGAGAATCACCAGGGTAACTTTTGAAAAAAAATACCAATGTGTGAACCCATAACCAAAGATTCTGATTAAATTGGTCAGGGCTGGATCTTGGGCCACAGTAGGTTATAAAACCTCCCATCTGATTCTAATGTGTGGCTGGACCTGACCATCTCTACTTTCCACTTTTTCAGGTGAAATACCAGAATGGCCTGACCCTTTATTCGCTCTGCAACATCATTTCTGCACACAACTTCCAAGGCAAGGGGATGCTGCATGCTCAATACATACTGACTAGTCAAATGTGGAAAGAATGATGCATTTGAAGATTATTCTTTCATTCTGTTTTAGTTTGGGAATGCGGCTAGTCAATTATGCCTATAGGACCAGGTGGAAGAGACGAAATCATTGTATTCCTTACCATCAATGTGTGACTCTGTCTTGAAAAGAATACCGGAATCCTATTCAGTCTTTATTTTGGAAAGCCCTCCCTCCACCCCTGGAGGCTGAGGCATGTGGTCAAAGAAAATGAGTACAGAACAGATAACCAATTCCCCTAATTTTTCTTTAATTCCTGCTATTTTCCTACTAAATTCCCATTGCTCTAAACTCAACTCTCCCTTGCATGGAATATGTGATCTGAAATAGGCCCTATATCCATGTTAAATGTTAAAAAGACACTACAACAATAGAAGAGATAATAGCACTTCAGTGACAATAACAGATAATAGCACTTGAGTGCCTTATGGCTGCGTAATTAGTGACGCTTCTCTCGAGACGTTAACTTCGGTGTTAGTGGGGGTTAAGGGAAAAGAGACTGCTGCTAATGTGCCACTGATATTCAGAGGGTGTTGGACACTGAAACCTAAGGCTATCTGTTCTGAGGGCTGGCGGCCAATTTCAGCAATGTGGAAGCTGATAATTAAACAGAGAACTCTGGCTGCAAATTAAATGTACTATTTGGCTTAATGAGCATACGCTAGAATGAGTGACTAAGAGGTAAGAGAGACTGACCAGGGTGATTCCGGTCGCCGCAGCCTGGAGGCGGAAGCGGACCTAACCCACGGGAGCAGGTAGCCGCCGCACGCCGGCCTCGCCTCCGTGACCGCGCGCGGCCTGCTTGCCCTGTCCGACTACCACGACTGCACCAGCTTCCACAGCCCGGAGGCCTACCTGGCGCACAAGAAGTTCTCATGCTCCTCCCTGCCGCAGCCTTCACCCACATCTTTGAGTGCTCCTACAGCCCCGGACTGGCACGGCCCCCGGAGACCTCAGGGGTCACTTCCGCCTGGCGCGCTGCCTGCTGGGGTCGGGGAAAATCCCCCCCGCCGGAAGCCGTTCGGTGCGGCCCACCCTCACGCGCCGGGCTTGGCGGCCCCTGGGACAACCCCAAAGACCAAGCGCTGAAGGAGTGGCCCCTGGGCCTGGTAGATGGCAGCCCACGTCCTGTCTACCCGGGTCTGCCGCCACCAACTCAGCCCACGGCATCTCACCAGCGCCCGAACGCGCTGCGGGCCTTGCTGACGACGCCCCCTTTCCGTTTGGACAAAGGCGTCCAGACTACCAACGAGGGGACCACAAGTACTGCTGTCTGTCCACCGTCATCGCCCACAAGGAGTATTACTGTGCCTCTCAGGCCGCCGAACATGTGAAGTGAGCCCGCCGACGCACTTGGTCCTGAAGACCAGTTTTCCTGCGCCAGCTGCTCTATGCAGAAGCGAAGGCCGGCTTACCCACCTTTGAAGAGACGGGACAACCCTCAGGCCCGGGCTCTTGGTAGCTCTTAGTCGTAGGAACCTCACCAAGCAGAGGCATCTTCAATGCTGCCCATTGCAGCCCCCGCCTGGACTGTCACTTGAAGAAGTTCGGTTTAACGAGCACAGCCTCAACAGCCTGGAGTTGAAGGAGCAACCCATGGGCAGGATCCTGGTGACTCTCTCATTTCCGGGAGCCCTTGCTAAATTCCGTTCGAATTAGTTGGGGAGATTCCCCTGTATTTATCCGAAACGTTCATTTACCTTAGCTAGTTTGGGTTCACTAAAATAACGCTGTCCTTAATTAGGAAGAATAATAAAGAGTTCCAGAATATAGATAGATATCTATGTACTTTGATTTTCTTTTGGTAAGAAAGAGGTGTACTCTTGGATGGACAAGTTTCCAAGGAAGGCTTTTCACCAAAAAGACCAGACTGTGGAAAGAACCACAGGTTTATGGGACGCTGGAAAAGCAAGAAGAGCTTAAAGAGGAGGAAAGCATTTTAAAAGTTACTGATACTTTGTGGGACGCCTGGGTGGCTCAGTCGGTTAAGCGTCTGCCTTCAGCTCAGATCATGATCCCGGGGTCCTGGGATCGAGTCCCGCATCGGGCTCCCTGCTCCGCGGGGAGCCTGCCTCTCCCTCTGCCTCTCTCTCTCTCTATCTCTCATGAATAAATAAATAAAATCTTTTTTTTTTAAAGATTTTATTTATTTATTTGACAGAGAAAGACACAGCGAGAGAGGGAACACAAACGGGGAGTGGGAGAGGGAGAAGCAGACTCCCTGCCGAGCAGGGAGCCCGATGCGGGACTCGATCCAGGGACTCCAGGATCATGACCTGAGCCGAAGGCAGTCGCCCAACCAACTGAGCCACCCAGGCGCCCCTAAATAAATAAAATCTTTAAAAAAAAAAAAAGTTACTGATACTTTGTATCAGTCGGTTATTTCTTTTTATATAGTTTAGATCAGAATATTCTTCCCATGAACAAAAATATTCTGTGTACTTTTAAAAGGCTTCATGAATACACTGGTAAAAAAAACAAAAGAAAAAAATGCTGTCATTTTGAGGAATTATAATGATGATTGTTAATATTTATGTGCCAAAGCAATAACAACAAATGTTATATGGAAGATAACATTGAATTGTAAAAATTTCATAAAATATTATCATGCTTGTCATATGAATAAGTAAACCTAGGCTTCATTGATTAAATCACATGTCTAAAGTCATATAGCTGAAATGTGGTAGATGCGAATTGCAAAACCAATTGAGTCCTGTTTTAGAGTCTATGATCTTAACCACTCTGTTTTGTTATACTTCGAGGAAAACTTTTCTCAGTTTCTGGAGTTAAAGTGGAAAATTATCCAGACTAGTGGCAATGCAAACCATCTGAGAAGGGAGAGTCGGTGAGTGTGGCTTTCTGAGAAACAGTATTTCATCACAGCTAGTATTCTTGGGAACCCTAATAGAGACTTTGTAAGAAAGATTTAACATGAAAAAAATTTTCTTGACACTTCTGTGGAGGGTTGATCAGAAAAAGGATAGAAGACTCTTTTAGTAATTAGAATGAAATAAAGACATGTGGACTTCGGTTATGGTTTCAAGATATGTAGAAGTCGGTAGAGGAGAAAAAGTTATAGACAACCCTAAATTTTGAGACTAGTGGACTAAAAAATTATGGTGCCATTGGAAATAATAGGAAAATGGAAGTGTCCATTTTTTGATGACAGAAAGAAAAATAATTCATATTTTATTGGTGGTAAAGTCAAATTGTGAGGAAACATGTAAGCTAGATCTTATTCAAGTGCATTATCTACCTGTTCTGTTCCAGACAGGCCTTCTGAGTATGGAGCTCAGAATCTCAACATCAAATTAATACTTTACCTGGTCTGACTGTGGTCTTTGTCTTGTTCTTTGGGACTGTGTCTTCTCATCCCTTATCCTTATTTCAATAGCTGGGTAGTACACTATGTTATACCCTGATATCCTGTCTTGTTTCCCACTCATATCCAAGGTCATGGAGACCTGTAAAATAACTTAACCCAGTGGTTAGAGTTTCTAACTAGCAGTAGCTCTTTGGTGCTAACTCTGTAAATACTTATATCTTTGCTTACTGACTGATATTCTTAACTCTCGGGTGCTGTATTTTGCCTATCACTTAATATATCATGTTGAAAACTTTGCCTAGTAAGCTTGATTCCAAAGAAATATCATAGATATCTAACTAGTTTCCAGAGACTAGCAGTTTCCAGTAGGGCTAATTCTACCTGGGCCGTAGTCCAAATACTTATTTTCTTTGGTTCCCCCACATATACAGAATTCCTTGATTTTATTTAATAGAGCAGATGATATTTATTGCTATAAATCTATACATTAATAGCCAGTGTACCATCTTTCCTTTCTCTTACATTTTAAACTGGGAGTCAGAAAAAAGGAAATCACCAATTACTTCACAATTTTTCTTTCTAATTTACACAGGAAAGTTATTCTTATGTTTGACTTGGTCAAATCCATCCCTTATAAGTAACCACTACTGAATTTGCTAAATATGTTTTTCTGGCTTCCATATAGTTATACATATGCACATATTCACTTTGATACATTTATTATATTCATTGATTAGTTTCTTAGTTTACAAATTGGAATCACACTGCGCACATTGGTTTGGGTCTTTTTTTCTGCTTAAAAAATTATAATGTGTAGATTTAAAGTTCAATACCTAATTCTATTTAGTTGTTTTACTAAACTTTGAATGGAGGTACTATGATATTTTTCCCTCATTTTATTGTTTACTGACACTGAAACAAACTGAAACTGTTTGCTGGCTATTTACATTTCTTATTACATTAATTTGCAACTTCAGGGCGCCTGGGTGGCTCAGTTGGTTGAGCGACTGCCTTCGGCTCAGGTCATGATCCTGGAGTCCCGGGATCGAGTCCCGCATTGGGCTCCCTGCTCGGCAGGGAGTCTGCTTGTCCCTCTGACCCTCCCCGTCTCATGCTCTCTCTCTTTCTCTCATTCTCTCTCTCAAATAAATAAATAAAATCTAAAAAAAAAAAAAAATTTGCAACTTCATTTCCTTTGTCATTTTATTTACTTAATTTTACTAAATTATTTTGGAAATTATTTACTAAGTTTTATGTCACAGATTTTATTAAATATTATATGTAAGAGCTATTTATTAATATGTTGCTGACATCTTTGGTATAATTTATTAAGATAAAATTTATTCTTCTGTTTGAATATATTTTTTAAACTTTATGTCTTAAGTAATTGTTCTTGGAATGATTAAAAATATATTAAAGCAGCCACAGTCGATTTTCTTTTTTGGATTGTAATTAAGCAAAGACTACATAGAGAATTAGACTTCATTTATCCAAATGCACATACAATTACAACGAACTCACAACACACACATGCTAGACTTTAAAAACATGTAAAATATGTCAGCCTTGTACTGTCTGCTCTTAATCACTGCAGTATGCTAAAGGAAATTTTAAAAGTACTTGGCAGACATAATTGAAGTACTTACAAAGAATTTAAAAATTGCCAAAAGTACGGTTTTATGCAGTTATTCATATGCTATATTTTTAAGGCACAGCTGATTTTTAGTATATTTATGGGAGACATGTATGAACAAGTATATCCACTATGTTCTCTCCCTACAAAATACTGTTTCAAAACTTTATATTGATTATAAATATGATAGTTATAATGGGAGCTTAGGACTAGATTTATAGGCAATAATCAGATTGCAGTAAACATATTTTTAAAAATCAGAACTGAGGAATTAAAAAAAATGAATAGGAAATGAGAAATTGTAGTTGGAGACAGATGTTCAAGGAGCAAATCCCGAATTACTAAGTGAATCAAGATAAATGTATTTATACAGGGAAAATTTCTTTCACTCATTTTCTCATCTTTCTTCCAGCCCAATCTCTCTTCATTCCTCTAGGAAAATGAAATCAGTAAATAGAGTTGAATAGGTCTATCTGCATATATTAATAGGAATCTACACCATTCTTTTATTATTTTTTTCTATGAGTAAATTAGATCAGCTAGATACTTCTTTCACTAGTCCAGAGCATCTTGGGTCATAAAAAAGGTATCTCTAAGAGAGTTTCAGAGGAGATAATTCTTGGTGTCAGAGAATTATAGCCAACACAAATGTCCATTGTCTTCTAAGTGAATAGTTGGTATACAATCAGGTTAAACATTATGTACATTAGAATCAATATATGTGAATTGATGAATGAATATCCAATATTTATTGAATATTTATAATATGCTAAATACAATGATGAGCCAAACCAGAAAGCTTCTTTCATGAAACTCAAATATATTTTAACAAAAACACATTTCAATTGGTTTTATAACAATATATAAAGAATATAATTGTATAGTATAAAGAATGGGCTTTGGGTTCTCAGATAGCTAGATTCTTGTCCCAGCATTGCCACTTACTAGCTCTCTAACCTTGGGCAAGTTATTTGACCTCTTAATTATGTTGTCAGAGATTATTTCCTTCTGTCATTCCAGAAAGTATAATGGGAAGAACACTGGACTAGAGGGCGCCTGGGTGGCTCAGTTGGTTAAGCAACTGCCTTCGGCTCAGGTCATGATCCTGGAGTCCCTGGATCGAGTCCCGCATCGGGCTTCCTGCTAGGCAGGGAGTCTGCTTCGTCCTCTGACCCTATCCCCTCTCAGGTGTTCTCTCTCTCTCATTCTCTCTCTCTCAAATAAATAAATAAAATCTTAAAAAAAAAAAAAAAGAACACTGGACTAGAAGTAGCATTATGGCTTGGTTTCCACTCCTAGCTCCATATACCTACCCACTTCAGGCTTCAGTTTCCTTATCTATGAAAAAAGGAGATTTAATCAGGAAATTTCTTAAGCCTCTTCCGTATTTTAAGACACAAAGAATCTTTGTCTTCACACTCAGTATCACATTCATAAGGTAAAATTAGCTTTCTTAGTGTTCTCTCATTCCTTTATTTTTAAGTTCTCTTGCAAGGCTGTAGTTTGGAATCAAGGAGCAAAATATGTTGAAAGTTTCAAAGTTTCAAAATCATTTATTTACCAGAAAAAACCTTGCCATTAGATTTCAAACACAATAGAAGTTGTTTTAAGAAACACAGTCCACACTACAACTTATTTCCCAAGGGCTCTGTAAGAAAGACCTCTCCTAAAACTTACATTTTTGGGAAAGGTGGAGCTGACCTCTCATCTGTAGAAAACATCTGTCAGAATATATGACTCATTGCCAGAAGCGCTCTTTTGGAATCTTTTCTTAATAACAACAATGTATAACAAAAAGATGCTTTGTATTTCAGTAATGCCTTTATTTAGATCACCTTTCCAATCCATTTATAAACATGTCTAAGAAACACAGGCTATGTCTAGACTATCAAACAAAAAAGGCACCAAAATTGAACAGGAAGAATGTTACAGCATTTCATAACTGCTGTATTCAGTAGTCTGAATATTCACATAAGTTTATTCCATTGATAACTTTCACAAAGACTGCAGAAAAAAGTTCAAATTTTATGGCAGCAGTTTTCATTTAAATTCTTCTCAATAGGTTTAGACATATGTAAAACATCTTTACTAACTATGATTGGTGCTGGTAGCTCAAATAAATGTAGACTATGCAGGGCTCACCCACATGAAAAGATAAAAATCAAAACAAGAAAGTCTGTTAAAATCTTTTACCCATTTTTAAGCTGCATTATCTTCTAATTAATTGAATTAGGTTAATTCTTTATATATTCAAGATAAAAATTCTTTCTTAGATATAGGTCTTGCATATATTTTCCCCAGGCCTTTTCTTGCCTTTTTGTTTCTGTAACACTGTCTTTTGAAAATCAAATGTTTTATAATTTCACATAAATTTTAGAAACAAATTGTTAATTTCTAAAATAAAGTCTACTGAGATTTTGATTGGGATTACATTGAATCTAAGTAAGAATTTGCAGAAAATCGATGTCTTAACAATAACTGAGTTATCCAAATTATGAATGTAAGATATTTCTCCATTTTTCAGATATATTATCCCAGGTGGGTTTTGTAATTTTTGTGTATAGAACTCGCACCTCTTTTGTCAAATTTCTACCTAAATATTCCATATATTTGATATTATTGTAAGTGGCATTATTTTCATAATTTCAATTTCCAATTGTTCACTAATAAAAATATAATTAATTTTGTAAATTCATCTGTATCCTTGCATTTGTGTTAAATTCATTTACTAGTTCTGATAACTTTCTTTGTAGATTTTGTAGGGTTTCCTACAAAGATGATTGCCTTTTATTTCTTTTTCTATTGAGTGCACAGGCTAGAATATCCAGTAGAATGTTGATTACAAATAATGATAATGTGCCACCTTGCTTTGTTTCTAATCTTAGAGGTAAAGCATTCAGTCTTTCACTATTAGGTATAAGCTACTAGCTTTTCATAAATGCCCTTTTTCCAGTTTCAAAGATTTTGCCCATTGTGGGTATTTGAAAGATTCAACTAGACTCAACAGAGAACACGGATGTGAAACTATTTCTTAGAGGCAAAGGATAAGGTACAAAAGCAAAAAGAGACTGCAGGCAAGCAGCAGGTGTCTGAAAGATATTCCACAAGGGAGTTCCCCAGGGCCACTATTCATATGCATATACCACACATGTACCATCCTATCTCTCTCTCTGGAACAAGCTCATTTGTGCAAGGAATTTTGGCTTCAGGACAGTTCCCTGAGAACCTTTTGTTGGCCATTTAACTGGTCAAGCAGTCTTGTCAAAGTGGTTATGCCAGTTGCAAACATCACTAAAGCAACTGATCATTAGGGTCATCAGGAGAGTTTGAGACCTTAAAACAACATGCAATAATCTCTGGATGCCTTTATATGATCTAAAAGTCACAAACCAGACATCCAGGTATCCCTAGAGATAAAGAGCTTTCCTAGTCCAGTAGTAAACCAACTCATCATCTCCTTTGAAGTTCACTTCTATTCTTAGATTACTGGAAGTTTTTATCAGAAATGGACGATGTATTTTGCTAAACATTTTTTCTGCACCAATTCAGATGATCATGTGGTTTTGCCTTTTTGAGCTGTGAATAAGGAGAATTACACTGGTTAATTTTCAAATCTTAAACTAAGCAGGCATCCCTGGAATAAACCCTATTTGGTTTATTTTCAGATTTGACCTGCTAAAATTTTGTTAGGAATTTTTACATGTTCATAAAGGATATTCATCTTTAGTTTTCTTGTAATGTTTTCATCTGGTTTTGGCATCAGAATCATAATGAGCTTATAGATTTGGGAGGTAGTCCTTTCTCCTCAACTTTCTTGAAGACTTTTGGTGGAATTGGTATTATTCTCTCCTTAAATGTTTTGTAGAATTTTCTAGTGAAGCTAGAAAAATCTTAGATTTTTCTTTATAGGAAGCCTTTAACTAATAATTCAACTTCTTAAATGTAGGGCTGTTCAAATGACCTATTTTTTGAGTGAATTTTGTTGGTTTGTGTCTTTTAAAGAAGTTTTCCATTTCATCCAAATTGTCAAATTGATTGGCATAAAATTCATTATATCCCCCTATTATCCTTTGTGGGTTTTTAAATTTTTTTTTAATTTTTAAAGAAATTTTTTAGAGAGAGAGCACGAATTGGAGGTTGGGGGTAGAGGGGTAGAGGGAGAGGGAGAGAGAAAATCTTAAGCAGACCCCATGCCCAGCACAGAGCCTGATGTGGGGCTCAATCTCGTGACCCTGAGATCATGACCTGAGTTGAAAAATTGACTGACCCAGCCACCCAGGTGCCCCTTCCTTATTAGCCTTTGAATGTGAATGAAGTTTGGAGTGATACCATTCCTAACTTGGTCTTCTATTTTGTTTATCAATCTGGTTAGAGGTTTATCAATTTTATTGGTACCCTCAAAGAAGCAGCTTTTACTTTTATTTTTCCATATTGTTTTTCTATTTCTATTTATTTCTACTTCTCACATTTATTTGTCAGTTCTTCTGTCTCTTTTGGGATTAATTTTCTAGGACTTTGTGTTTCTTAATAGAAGAATAAAGTACTAATTTGATAATTTTCTTCTTTTTTATAGGTTTTTAGCGCTATAATTGTTTCTAAGTAGTTTTAACTGCATCCTAAAAAATTCGATATGTTGTGTTTCATTTTTATTCAGTTCAAGATACTTTCTAATTTATTTTTCCTGTGTTCTTTTACCCATGGGTTATTTAAAAATTTATCTTGCAGTTTCCAAATATTTGAAGATTTTCCCAGTATCTCATTGTTACTAGTTACTAATTTAATTCCATTTTGGTCAGAGAACATCTTTTGTTTAATTTGAGAACTTTTAACTTAAGACTTCTTTTCTGGCTCAGAATATAGCCTTTCTTGGTAATACTCTTGTGTACTTGAAATGTGTACTTTTGGGGCGCTTAAGTGGCTCAGTTGGTTGAGTGACCAACTCTTGGTTTCAGTTCAGGACATGGGCTGTGGGATTGAGCCCTCATCAGGCTCCATGCTCAGTGGGGAGTCTGCTTGAAGATTTTCTCCCTTTGCCTTTCCCCCCAAACTCCTGTGCACACATGCACGCTCTCTGTCTCCCTCTCTCTCTTAAATAAGCAAATGGATAAATAAATAAATAAATAAATCATTAAAAAGAAAAAGAAATGTGTACTTGAAATGTGTGTATTGAAATGAGTGTGTATTCTGTTGTTAAATGGAGGGCTCCATAATTATCAATTAGTTCATGTTGACTAGTAGTTTTGTTCATGTTTTTAGTATCCTTAAGGACACCATATTTGATTTATCAATCACTGAGAGAGGGGTGCAATCTGGCCCTACATGTGTGGATTTCTCTATATTTTTTCTTGTAGTACTATCAGTTCATTTTCCATGTTTTTTGAAGCTCTGTTACTTGGTGCACATACATTTAGTATCCTAGGGCTGGATGAAATGATTCCGTTTATCATTATGAAATGACTGTCTTTATCTCTTTTAATATTATTAGTTTTGAAATCCATTATGTCTGAAATTATTATAACCAGTTTAGCATTGTTTTCACTAATGTTAATATGGTATCTTCTCCCATCCCACTAACTTTTACCCATTAATGTCTTTATATTTAAAGTGGGTTTCTTTTAGGTCACAATAGTTGGATTTTATCCAATCTAACAATCTCTGTCTTTTAATTGGAGTGTGTAGACCATTTATAATGTGATTATTGATATTATTAACTAAATGACTTCCTTGTTATTTGTTTTCTAACTGTCCTTTTTTGTTGTTGTTGCTTCTTTCAGGTTGAGTATTTTTTTTTAAGATTTTATTTATTTGAGAGAGAGAGAGACAGAGAGAGAACAATTGGGGATGTGGCAGAGGGACAAGCAGACTCCCTGCTGAGTGTGGAGCCTGAGGCAGGGTTTGATCCCAGGACCCTGAAATCATGACCTGAGCCAAGTCAGATGTTTAACAGCTGAGCCACCAAGGTGCCCCTCAGGTTGAGTATTTTTATGATTCCATTTTATATCCTTTTGGGTTATTAGCTGTAATTCTAACTGATGGCAAATAAGCATATGAAAAGATGCCCAACATCATGAGTCATTAAGGAAATTTACACTACACCGAGATACCACTATATACTCATAGAATGGGTAAAATTAAAAAGTCAGATAACAACAAGTATTGGTAAGAAAGCGAAGTAATTAGAAGTCTCATGCATGGCAGGTGGGAATATAAAAGTTGTACAATAACTTGATAAAACTGTGTGGAAGTTTCTTAGAAT